AAGTTTCAAACTACTTCTCATTCTTTTGATTTTTCACTAAAGTGCTGAATTAATAAGAAGTGAAACGATTCCAGTACCGCTTTTGAACAACTAGTACTAGTGCCAGCGCCTCGCGACTAGGAAGATGAAGATCAACTTCAAGCCTCTCGGGAAAAAGCTGGAGACCGCCGGGAAAGACATCGGCAAGTTCGTGAGCAACAATGTTCCGAAAGGCGGGGACATCCAGCTTCCGGTGGTGAAGATTGGGGACAAGGTCGAAATCAACGTGAAGATACAAATCAAGGTGAAATAACAAGCGCTAGTGCTTCACGACTCCAATTCTGATCTGATTCTTGAAGGAGAGTCAGGATGGCAACGCATGGAATTATGGCGCAGCTTCTGTAGAAGTTTTCTCCAGCCAATTTCCTTTAGAAAGAATCGTATCACACAGGCCTCTTACTTTGCCTTGCAGCGCAAGGGAGACAGAGAATGAACAACAAAACGAATTTTTGCAACTCCAACTATATCGACTTTCCACGAATTCTAAAAAACGAAGCTGAGAACCCGAGTTGTTCGCTCAGGAGCAGGCCGGTTCACAGAAAGGAATAGCGATGTGCGAATTTCGCGCATGCACAAATTCGTCGTAAGTATCGTCTAATCGAATCATGTCGTTGTCGCTTCGTTATCGTATTCTTTTCGTTCGAGGTCGTCGAGTTCATTTTGATATCGGACTTCTGGTCCAGCGGAACCTTATCTTCTATCGTTGGGCAGGTCCGCTAATAAATACTCGAATGAAGGAGCGTAAGCGAGACCTTGAATAATTGTCAGATAGAAGCAGATCAGAAAAATAAACCTTCGATACAAGAAATCAAACTATCGACTCGTCAAGATGAAGTTCCGCCCGCTCACCGCAATACGTAAAATTGCGGCGAGTGCAGTTGTAGTCGGACTCTTCAACATCGACGGTACTCAAAACCCGGCTTTGGCGATTTACCTGCGTAAGGAACACCAGGAGGCTGCAACGGTTTCATCCGGAGCAAGCGCGCCTCCCGTAGTACCGGAACTCACTGCCGAACACCAAGGAGGAGCTGCAAGTCTTTCTTCGCACGAAAAATCATCGAACGGAAACTACAAAATCGGAAGATCTGCTAGCCCAGCGCCACGAGGACACAATCAGCCACGACAAGTTGTTGCGAGTCGCTCGTCCACGACAACTTCCAACAACGCTCCACGACCTGCCCGTCAACATTTGGTCCTCGAACAGAACGCAATCGAGCAGGATGGAGACGTCTTCTACACAGGACAAGATGATTTTTATGCCGACGCAGTAGATCATAGTCCTACTCCTACAGCCCTGCATTTATTCGAAACTAATAAAAGCGAAGAGGACGCTGCTCTTGGTGGGGACGAAGACTTTGAAGAATCTTCCGGCTCGGCAGAAGAGGAAGCAGATCCCAGCACCAGCGGAAAAGCCATGATTTCATCTTTACAAGAACTGTATGTCGCGCAGCAATCCACCGCATACCACCCGCTTGAACGAAGCCCGATCACCAACGCAACCCAGCTTGCGGAGGAGGTCAAGGCCGAGATGCGATTCTGTTGGGAGAACTACCGAAAGCAGGCCTGGGGCTACGACGAAGTGTTCCCAGTGACCGGAGGCGGCCAGAACCCGCTCGGGGGACTCGGGGTTACCATCGTGGACAGCTTGGACACCTTGTACTTAATGGGGCTGCACAAGGAATTTCGAGAGGGGTTGGAGTTTGTCCGGAACGAACTGAACGTGACGGCGCCGAAAGCGGATTTTACGTCTCGAAAAGCGCACCTAGACGATCTGCGGTTGCTAAATCGTCCAGACACTTCAGGAGGACGAGAATTGAACAAACACAGGAAAAGAGAGGAAAAAAAGTTCTCCACCTTCGAGATCACCATTCGCGCCTTGGGTGGACTGCTCTCCGCCTACAGTCTGAGCTCCGAAAAACCGCTGCTGCAGAAGGCAGAGCAGCTGGGCGACACGCTGCTCGCAAAGGCGTTTGGGGACGTGGGGAAAGCGAATTCGCGGCACGGACTGTTTCCGGTACGAATGATTCAGTTGGCGGAGAAAAAGATGGGGAGAAAGGATAAAAGCTACGGGAAGAAATCCAAGATTCAAGATTCTCGTCAGCGGAAAAAGGCAGTAAACAAGCCGCCGCCGTCGGCTCTTCAAGTGGGATTGGTCAACTACGGTACTGACCTGGTTTCCGGGTCGAACAGCGAAGGCGAAAAAGGCTCTTCTGGCGAAGTAGATTCCGGGGATGATGAAGAAGCTGGCGCCAGTTCTGAGGATGAAGAAGAACCCTCTGCTCCTTCTACACCGACCGCTGCCGAGCTGAATAAAGACCGCAGCGGGAATTTGGCCGAAGTGGGCAGTTTGCAGCTGGAGTTTCGTTCCTTGGCGTTCTTCACAAAAAGGCAGGACTTCACTCGCCTCCCGGACAAGGCGGTACAGGCGCTCACCGAGGTGAGCGAACACACCGGGAACGCGCTGCTGCCGGTCGGCGTGAATCTGTGGAGTAAGCGGGGCGCCGCGCTGCAATTCATCGGATCTCGCGTCTCCGTCGGGGCAGAGGCCGACAGCTACTACGAGTACCTGCTGAAGCAGTACTTGCTGGGTGACAAGAAAGACCCAAATCTCCGCGAGGCGTTTCTGAACGCCATGGTATCAAATGTAAAAATGTCTGGGTCTGGAAGGTTGGAAACCTTGTCATGCAGGTTTTCCATGACGCGTGAGGTCTGTAATATATGACCCAGCATGACAGATTCTTCTCGACCTCTATCATGCCTCGTCTGCATGAGAAAGTCCCTCTCAGCTTGGTCAAAAGAGGAGAGCTTTTGGTAATCATGCAACACAGATTTTTGCACTATCGAGAATTAGCATGACAAGTTGCATTCTTCCAGACCCAGACATTTTTACAATCCATACATGGACGCGATGTGCGACAAGCTGGTCCAGCGCTTATGCATTGCAAATATGTCTGGGTCTGGAAGATTCTAAGATTTGTCGTGCATGTTGCGCATGACCCAGGATATCTGTAATGCACGACCTAGCATCACAGATTTTTAGAGGACTTTGTGATGCCTGTGCCGCATAAGAAATGCCCTCTCCGCGTAGCACGAACTGGAGTCCTCTTGCTGGTCATGCAATTGCAATACAATTTTTTTTTGAATCCAGAGACAGCATCAGCATTACAAGTTGCATTCTTCCAGACCCAGACATTTTTACATTTGACAGCGCACGGCGGGGGACAAACAGTTGCTCTTCATCGGCGGCCTGGACGCGGGCGTTGTTCCGGACAACAAAATGGAGCACTTGACCTGCTTCGTCCCGGGGATGTTGGTTTTGACCCTGATGCAATTGGACGACGACGACTTGCCCCTGTCGGACAAACGGCGCAAGACATATTTGAAAGTTGCGACCGGGGTCGCCGACACCTGCTACGAGATGTACCGGATGACGAAGACGGGACTGGCACCCGAAGTGATCGCGTTTCGCGCGAAAAACGACGCGTTCACGGACGAAATCGTCATTCCGCCGAATTTGCAGTACAGCTTGTTACGCCCGGAGGCGGCCGAGTCGTTTTTCTACCTGCATCACTTCACGAACGACCCGAAGTACCTACCAAAGTGAAAAATGCCCCCACCCCCGAACTTGGGAGCATTTGTATTGCAAACCTTTCCACATGAAACATTCGCCCTCTTGCATCTATCAGCATCACAAATTTTCCATGCTGAATAGCGCAAATTTGTGATGCAACGGAGCGCAACAGCAGGCGGATCTCTGATGCAAAAGATAGCTTGCGCAACTAGATTCTGCATCAGAAATGCTTGCGCTCCTTTCATGCAAGACAAAAGCCTTTCATTTGGAAACTTTGCATGAGAAACTTTTGCAAATTTTGGGGTGGGGGCACTTTTTATTGTAATAGTACCGCCTCTGGGCGCGCGAGATTTTCTACGCCATGCGGAAGCACGCGAAAACCAAATTTGGGTACTCGGGCTACAAGGACGTGAACAAAGTGGCGGAGAAGGAAGGAGACGCGGATGCGGAAGTGCATGGAGTTGAACTACCTTTTCCCCTGGCGTGGTCGAGTACAACTAGAGACTCCGCCCGGGGAACTACACGTCGACACGCCAATTTGTTCATGAATCGCCAAGAATCCTTCTTTCTCGCGGAGACGTTGAAGTACCTGTATCTCACCTTCGCCCCCCGAAATACGCTGGATCTGAACAAATTCGTGATATCGACCGAGGCGCACCCGTTGCTACGGTTTGGAGCGGCAGGAGCTAGTACTGGGAACGAAGAAAGCAGAAGAGGACGAGGAGCTGTAGGAGGAGAGCCTTCGGCGCTCGTTGAAATCGCGACAGTCAAGGAAGCTGACGCAGGGGCAGGAGCTGCAGTAAAAAAGCGGACTTTATCTACATCATCTCCTGCAGGAAACAATACTAGCACAAGAAAATCAACTTTGTCCACGGGCACGGCCATGCTGGCGCGTACAACGACAATCGACAAGAACAAAAGTGATACAGCGCTCGACAAAACACCGCAGCGACTTGGGCAAGCGCCTGTGAAGATCATGGTTGGAATCCCAACGCGCAATCGCGTTGGCTACGTGAAATTTCTCGCCGAGGTGCTGAAACACCACCTCCTCCCAGACGACATTCCGAAGGAGAATCTCTACATCGTGGACGACAGCAGCGAAGAGTTTTCGTTGCAAGATCTGCGGAAATGGTTCGAGCTGCCGGAAAGCCACGTGCTGAGTGCGCAGACCCTGCTCTCCGGTGTGGAGAGGGAAGATTTTCAGCAACTACAGAAGCTCGCGACGCAGGTGCAACCGTGGGGGAAAAGTGAAGAGGGGGATTTTTCTCTCTCGTTGTCTACTGCAGCAAGGACCACCTCGGGTTCTTCGTTGCTACAACTGGGAGAACATCACGAGCACCAGCACGGGAAAAGTAAAAGTACCTCTGCAGCGACTTCCTTGTCGACAAGAAGTGGCGCAACCACTGCTGAGTCGCAACATCAAAAGATGAAACAGTTTAAAGCGGACATCACGACGCATCTCTTGATCCGGCATTTCCTCGCGAAGCCTGAGTACGACGCTGTGATGATTTTGGACTCCGACATGGTGCCGGCGAAGGGAATCGGGCAAACGACGCAACAGATTTTGAGAACGTGGAATGAGTTAGCAGGATTCAGACGGGGACAAGAAATTACAGACCAGCAGCGACAAGAGGAGAAGCAAAAGCATCCAAAAATCCAGCCCGCTGGACTGATATCAAACGGTACAGCAGGCACAAGTTCTTTGGAGGGAAGCAAGCAAACATTGCAGCGAGCTACATCGAAACAAATACAACACGAAGGCGGCGACGACCAGGAACTTTCCCTGACATCCGCGGTCGCGAATTGGGCGAAGACGAACGTCGTTGTGCCGCTGTTGGGAAGTCAAGCGGGTGATTGGTGGGATGGTGTGTCAAGTAGCCCGGGTGCAGGAGAAATCCGCATCCTTTCCCTGTTCAACCCAACACACGAGTTGAAGTGGCATAAAGTAATCCGAAGACTTCCCCCAACCGAAGAGATACCCATCCAGCTGGAGCAGAAGGCGTCCAGCGGGAACGCCGGCCTCGTTTTAACGCGGTACGTGGCGGAGATTCTGCTGCAAAACGCGGACGACGCGCTCCACGAAATGGCGCGCGGAGACCACTTGCAAAAGATCCAGAACTACCAACTGGACTGGACCATGGTGAACTTCGCAAAGAAGCTGAAGTGGAAGTTTTTCGCCCCTGCGAACTCGCTTCTCTTCCACATTGGCATGCACGGGCAGCACGTGGGGAAGTCGTACGGAGGGAGGGAGGGCGGTGGCGTCCACACGGAAAAGTTTCCCGTCAAGGAACAGGACTTGTTTGTCCAACAGGGGATTGAGTTTTACTACAACAAAAAAGCGCGCGCGGATGAGGTGTTTGAGGGGGAGGGGAGGGGGTGAAGTACGGATATAAAAATGATGAAAAAAAAGGTATATCAAGGAAGTGTTACAGAGCTCGCTATACTACCAAAGTCGAACCGCATGGAGAACTACTTTGCAAAATGAACGAAAACAAAAGCTGACAAGGCGACGACTTGACAAACCACGTGTACGTGATCAGGAATCGTCGAGTCGAAGCAAAGGAACATGCTATCGCCCGCACCGTCCGAGGGTGTGCATTCCTTGCACAGATTCCTCGTATGTAAAACTTTTGTACTTTTTCAATTTCGACTAGAGAAACTGCCATAACTTCTGCTTGTACTCAGAGACACAGCTTATGTTGTACTAACTGCGCCTGTATGTACGAACGAATCCTGGAACTCGTGTTGGTGAAGTGCTTGAAAGTAACTCACCTACACGCCCTAGTTGAGATGATTGATGAAATTGAAAACGAAATTGATCACGTATGCCGCGTGCAATACCAGATCTTCTTCTTACAGAAACATCTTGTTCTTTCTTTCTTCCTTTTTCTGCAGCTAAGAAAGTCTTTCAGCCACGGCCTTAAGAGGATCATCCACTGACTCGCAGAACAACAGCAAGGGGTTCCTCATTGAGGGAGAGTGTCTTGTGGTCTATTGATTCACGAAAAAAGGCGTTCTTGTCCCAAAGGAAGGATTTCGAGTTCAACTTTCGTAGCAGAATCCATCGGGGTTAGGGCGATTAATTGTTTCGATGTCTAACTACGTTTTGTAGTCAGATTCTGCACGACCACGACCTTTCCAGCTGGAAAACGACCCGCAAGTGTCTTAGTGAGCTGAGGAACTGACGTCACTAGGTAAACTAATCGAAAAGCTCAAGAAAAGAAACAGAGTATCAAAAAATATGAATAACGCGAACGCGGCGGGTCAGAACCCCAATGACGGGAATGCGGATCCCGTTCCCGCCGCGCCGGCTCCGGCTCCTGTCGTAGCAGCTCCGGCCCAAGGAGCTCAAGAAGTACAACCGGCCGCACCCGGCGTAGGGAATCACCCTACAATTGGTGACGTCTACGCGGAATTCGAGAGGGCGGAGTACTTGAGGCTGAAGGACAAGTCTTGGAGAAAGGTGAACATGCGATGCGTCAATGCGGCAATTACCTGTTTCGAGAAGAAGCAGCGGGAAGTTGGTGCGACCCGCATTCAGACCGTCCCCGAGGAACTGGCACGCAAGATCTTCAGCTTTTTGCGAGGGGAGCCCGGTGCCGCTGAAGTCAAGACGCATCCCGAAAAGCTATGGGCGGGAAGTGAGTTTGCGATCACTGCAACCTACACCAACCTCGACGGGCAAGAGGTGCGGATCGCGTTTTCGGGGCTGCCACGACATCCAGTTGGCTACGTGGATCGTCTAGACGTTGGGCAAAACTCGCAAACCGAAATGTCACGCTTTTACGTCAATGCCCAGGAAAGCGCAAGTACTAACTCAAGTACCTCCAGGCTTGAAGAAGCAGCTTTGTTCGTCGCTAGTAGCCCTGTTCCTGTGCGGTGCTTGCGCTCCCTCCGGCTATCCGTCGGTCAACTTCGTCTCGAGGAGCTCGAGCCCAGCGTGGAAGAGTCTGGGCCCGCGTCCTGTGCGTTACGATTGCGATGTACCCGCGTCCCGTGGAAGAATTCTGGCCGGCCTACTCGTGACATCACCATCGGCATGTGCATAACTTGCGAATCCGCGATCGGAGGTAGTTTCGCTACACTGGCTACAGAGGCGCTTGACAAACTCAACCGTTCCTCCAAAAACTTTTACGCGGAGTGCGAACGTAACAAACCAGGCGCTGAGGTCACTCTCACTGTATCCGCCATCGGTCATTTTTGCACGCAGGAGCGGCGCGGAAACGAAGACCCACAAGCAACTTCACCGCCAGGCGTCGCTGGCCGATTCAAGACGATGCTAGAGTTATGTGCTGTCCACGTAACAAGAGACGGAGATTTTAATTTTAGAGGAATGCCGCAAGAAGAATAAAGGAGTTTGCCTGGTCACCGACTGCTTAAGTACGTCGCGACCAGCAAAGCGGGCGAGTAGTCTAAGTGACTTGCTCAGGGAAGTGCTTACCTTGACTAAAGGTACACTAGCATTGAAGACCAAAGTACAAAAGCATCGAAGACCAAACGTTCCGCGGTTTACGTATAGTTCGTTTATAACTAGAGCAAAGAGACGAAGGCCTAGTAGAGAAGCAAGGACAGCAATCAAAAGCGACGCTGACGATCACTGTGACATCAGTGATGTTGATCGCCGCATCTCTAGCACGATTTGAAAACCACTTTGAGTCGGATTCGTCCAGTAATCGGAGTTCTCTCGTCTCTCTCGGAGCGGAAAAGCCAAAGCATCGATTGAGAGTCATGATCGTGACACGTGTTGTTATGAGCTCCGCCTTGTCCGTCGACACCGACAGTGATCCTTTGAGCAGGAGCGCTGGCTGGCGCAGGTGACAGGTCAGCCTTTGCAGTTGGATGAATTCCGTGCACCAGGAAAAAAGTGTCGTATTTCTGGCCTTGTGTCGTGAACCACAACAAGGAACATCCACTGCAACAACTACATCTCGTTTGCCTCTGAGAGTGAGATGGTCCTCGTGGTCAACAGCAGCTACTCACAAGAAAGTAACACACAACAAAGTCGTCGCGATAGGTGGCGCGAATTCGACTATAGAGGTGGCTGACTAAGGTGTATTCTTTGCAGAAGGCTTCTTGTGCTAAATGCTTGCGAGTGCGAGAGCGACTGCAAGCGCAAGTTCGAATTTGAAATAGAGCACAAGAGTTTCAGTTCCTTTCATTTGACAGTGTGGTCACTTTCGAATCGACAGAAAATGAACAACGCGGTACCGAACAACAATCCCGTTCCCGCTGCTGCTCCAGAGCAAGCACAGCCTGCTGCTGCACCAGCCGCGAACCCGCCCAGCACGGTCGCCGACATGTTCGCAGACATCGAGCAGCAGGAGGTCATGCGTGCGAAGGATCGAGCGTGGCGGAAGGTGAACATGCGGTCGGTGAACGCCGGCATTGCCTGCTTCGAGAAAAAGCAGCGGGAACGCGGCGAAGCGGGGGTTCAGACCGTCCCCGAGGAAATGGCGCGGAAGATCTTCAGCTTCCTGCGGGGTGAGCCCGGACTTCCGGCCGTGCCAAGCCACCCGGAGAAGATCTTCGCTGCCAGCGAGTTTGCGGTCTCGGCTTCGTACACAGACGCGAACGGGCAGCAGGTGACGGTGCAGTTCTCCGGCTTGCCAAGCGGGGTGCACATTACCAGTGCACCGACCCGAAGACTTACGACTGCGCAGTCTACTTGCATTTGCCCGACCGATCCTCGTCCTCATGTCGTGAGCAACGCGATCACCAACACGGCTACAAGTACGCTCCTCACTGCAACAACGAATATCCCAGTAATGCACCTGAAATCTCTCCGCTTGTTTGTTGGAAACAGGCCGCTGGCTGCAACCGGATATCAATTGGTTCCGACAGTAGATGGCGCTGTGCTCCTGTACGGCCACTTCGAATCCGCGCGAACACCGGACGAGCTTCGGGCAGCTCATGAATCCGCATCCATTGGCACCGCCTTTAGTCGGAGCGCGCTCGTAGGTGCACCGATTGGAGGAATCTTCCCCTACCTCAACCAAGATGCGCTGGACAAGTTCGACTCTGTTACCAGTAGTCCAGAGGAGAGTCAACGTAAGTTGGCCCGATTCCACGAAGAGTGCGAGCGCCACAAGCCAAGCGAAGGGATTACTCTATACTTGCTTGCCCTTTGCATCGACGAGAAGGTATCCTCGACAGCGCCCGGCGCAGTGCGTGAAATGCAAATGCAGAATCTCTCTCTCGCAAACCAGCGGTGCAAGAAGATATTGGAAGTGTGCGGCGTTCCGGTGACCGAGGAAGCTGCAGTGTGACGAGTGTGAGAAATGCGTTGGGGCGACGCGGATTTCGAAATAAGTATCCTTTAAGTAAGAATTTAATGTTTCTTCGACGCAAAGATGTTTTTTGTAGAGAAATGCAAACGGAAATGTAAAATCAAAATCTATCAATAGCAGCGAGTGCGAAGCAAATCAGATGATAAACTTTCACAAAAATTGTAAGTACTACTTCTTTCTAAAGATGTGATGCGGTCTTTCTAGTTGTAGTTCTACGCGATTATATATGTAGCAACGGACAGGATTTCATGTATTTAAGTATCAGATTTTGACAATGTTGGAAAAAGTGATTGATACTGATAAAGTGGGAGGCGTCTGTTGATTTGTCATCGGACTGTGCTCATCCCCATGGCCTTGTAGTTGTTCGTGTTCCACCTCCAGTCCCGGTTCCCTTTTCTTAATATGTCGACAACAACGTCGAGACGCGGAGAAACGGAGCGAACCAATCCAAATGGCTAGTAGAGCGAAAAAGGGCCGAATTGTTCGCAGAGGACTCTAGTATACTCGCTTGCAGCTACAGCTACTTTAATGACACTGAGTTTCTTCACGATCACGCGTCCCAGTGCTCTACCCCGAATATTTGTTTAATTTCCCCCAGCAAACCTAGTCACCACGTATAGTGGCACCTCGAAGTTTCTAGAAATTCGCTTGCTTTTGTTTCTTTGTTTCACAATCCAAATCCACGACCTCGACGGTCGAGATTTACACTCGCTACATGCAGTGTTCATTTCTAGGCCATTTGCTGCGCATGCCGAAAAACCGCTTGGCGCGTCAGGCCCTCATCGGCGCCTTCCACATTCCGGGCATCCCGGAGCTCGAACGTCGGTGGTTGTCGATGCCCAGACCAGGACGGTCCCCCGACACCCTGTGGTCGCAGGTGCGGCAGACGGTCGCGCGGTTTTGTGGTTTCAAGGACGAGGACTGCGCGCAGCCCCGGGCTCCGCTGGACGACTCGCTGCTCATTGCCATGGCCCAGCACCGCGAGTTTTGGCATATCCTTAGCCTCGAAATCCGCATCAAGTTCATGTTGGATGATTATGCCCAAGACCGATCGTGGTCCTTCACGGACTACATCACCGAGGCAGAGGGGTTGCAGCTCAAATACGGGCGGCGTGGTGTTGACTTATCCGAGTCGCTCAACGTGTTCCGCGAATGCTTCGACTTCAGGGTGATGAGATTCAAAAACGACTCCAAGTTTGGCAGGGATCTGAACGCGCAGTGGGACGAGGTAGATCGTGCATTGCGGTGCCCGATAAGGTGCAAGGCGGACCGGCCGTGTGGGTTTTGCCGAACGGGCCCCGACACCCGCTTCAAGCTGGATCCCAACCCCTGCAAGCAGAAGGTGTTCGACTGCTACCCGCTTGAGACATGCGATGGCTTTGATGATGCGGAGGTAGTGAACCACGACACGACCTGTCGGCCGGCGGCCGAGTTTCGGGACGGATGGCACGTAGCTCCCCCTGTCACCGACCCGGAGCTGAAAGAAACGCTGCGAGAGAGGGTTATTGCCACTGTCCACGATCTTGGGAAAAACGACAAGAAATTCCTCGGGACGATAGTAAGGGCCGCGGGACCAGACCGGATATGCAGCGAGATAGGCGCCGGCCAGCCGATCCCCGAGTGCAGTAAGCCGCAGCCTGGCCCCTCCTTCTCGGGGGTGATCTTCAACGAGGAGTACCGCATGCAGTTCCTGCGTGGGCTGCACAAGGAGTACTTTGACATCGTTGATGAGATATGTGCGTTTCACCCGTTCGTCGTCGAGCCCCGGTGGATCACTTCCGCGCAGTACTACCGCAACGCCTACCTCCGGGGCGAAGCGCCGCTGCATCGGATCTGCAAGATCGTTTGCTACTGCCCCGACTGCATCGCCGACAAGCCCAGCAAATGCACACCCGGCGAAGGACGGGCAGGACCTGCAGTATACGCTGGGCACAACTTCTCGTGTTTGCGCACCGCGTTCGTGCACATGCGCGAGAAGAAGGAAGCTGCTGCGGTCCGGGAGTTTGCTGACCTTTTCGCGAAAAATCCGGATGCTACCGCCGAGGACGTGCTCATACCGAAGAGGATCGGGAAAAGGACACAACAGCAGCGGCTTCAGCGAGCTAACAGGAAGAAGTGTTTGGTCGACGATCTTGCGGCCCGCGTACCGCCGAAATATGTTTCGGTGTCGGCCGATGGGTTCCTGCTGATCACAGTGCCTGCCCCTGCTGGCCCGCAGAAAAAGGAAATCATTCGAAGAAGAGTACAAGTAGCAAGATTCGGATCCGCCGCTGAAGCTTTGGAGGCGGCCGTACGGGTACGGGACGAAATCCTCCGGGATCCGGAGCCGTTTGTCACGTCCCTCTTGCGTAAACGGGGGCGTCGTAGGGGTAGGAAGTAATCGCTGCGGATGAGTGACGTACAGCACGGCCCCCACTGGCGGGGCGCGACAAATAGTAAGGCACCTTCCCCCCGGGCGAACTTGCGGCTCGTGAATCCCACCGGGATTCACCACGCCGGACGCAGGTTCGACCGATGATTGAGCTGTATATTTCCGAGATAAAAGGGCCAACTTCGGGACGGGGGGGCCGTGCTGCTGGGGAAAGGACTAGAGAATAGTTGATCTGAACGCCGATGCTAGTCTTCATTTTTCTGACTCTTTTCAGAAGTATTATTATCTCCCCGCGCTGTAACTCGTTCAGATCTCTTGCTCTAGCTACGTCCCTTTGACGTTTCCTTGTCTCTTTGCAAAAAGTACAGTCAGAACTTGCTTGTGAAATAAAGAAGTATCATTATCTCCCCGACCTGTAGCTCGTCAGCGAAAAGTCTTTTCAAGTTAAAGTAAGAGCTTTCCAGAATTGGCGACCCGGTCGAAATCTCAAAAAGTCTTTAAAATCGAGGGTCTTTGATCATAAAAAAGCGACAATTTTTGTAGTCTTGTCGGGGCTAGAGTTCTTTCAAACGAATAATCCCAGGTCCAAGGTGTGTAATAGCATCTATTTTTGGAAATTTTAGTGTCAGTCTGAGTCACCATCTTATTTGTTTTTTCGTATAGCCGGGTCTAGTTTTTATGTTATGTTGTCTAGTCTTTGACTTCTCACTTCCATCATTCTCAATGCCACGTTTTGGGCTAAAGACTGAGTGAACCCACCTCGGTGGAGCGGATACTACCGAACGAATCGGACTTGTATCAGATTTCCAATCCAATCCAATCCAATTCTAAAAAGGTCAACCCGGACCCGCTCGATTCCTCTTCCCAGGACGACGGTCTCCACGAATCCCGTACGCAGGTTCGAAGTTCGAAGGAAAAAGCCTTTCGCGTTGCCTTGACGAATTATATCGACCGGTTAATCGATCCTACCGAAGAGCACGATGACGACGTGTCTACTTTCGAAGACTTCAACGGAAACGCGTCCAGCAGCTCCGACGCGGGTGCTGCAACTGGGTTTGGTAAGAAACAAAACTACATCGCCGGAGACGCAAGGGAAAGTGAGGATGACGATGAGGATAATTTGCGCAATAATATCAACAACGCGCGGACTAGTAGAACGAGCAGCCAACACCCGCCCAGATTCAGCAATTCCGCCCGGCAATCGCAAATAGCCGACGAATCCAAGCTGCTGACAAAGAAGGATTGGCGGGAGTTTGAGGTGGACGTGTGGGGCGAGACAGATTTGGACTTCGGGCAATTTTGCAAGACCACATTTTACGAATGCATCCCCTGCGCGATCGCCGGCCCGCTATGCCTGTTGCTCGACGGAAAGACCGAGGCGTACAACCGGTTTCTCTTTGGCGGTGCGTGGTTTTTACCGATCATCGTGGATTGTCTCATCGGTGCCATGCCGTTTTGGTTTCTCTTCATCTTGTACTTGTCGAAGTGGCTCGGGGACAACGATGAGGATCAAGGTTCAACATCTAAAGCCTGGGGCCCGACGGAGAATCCCAAGTACCAAGTCCATTGGATCGACGTGGTGACTTTGGGGCTGTTGAAGTTGTACCGCGGGACCTGCATTGGGATCAAGTACGGGTACTTCAGCCCGACGGAAATGGCCTGTATCAAGGGGAGCAAAAACTACGGGACGTTTGGCAAAGGACCGCGCAGACTCGGGGCGGCGCTCTACTACGACCAGCAAGGGACGTTTGAGTGGGACATTTTAGAGGCGATGTTCGAGTCGGTTCTACGGAATTCTCTACTGCTGGAGTTCCAACAGGGCGAGCTCGAAGTGGAAAGGGACGCGCAAGTCGTCAAAGGCTTCTTCACCCTCGCGCAGGACAATTTTTTCAGCGTGTTAGACGACCCCGCGAAGTTTTCGCGGAAAAAGAAAAACTTCAAGCACGAGCACATCTGGCACAGCAAGTATGGGAATTTGAGGAAAATTCTTCGCTTGGACCCGAAAAGCGTGCGGGCAGCGGCGTGCGCGGGTAATTGTGTGAATAGCGAGATAGCAGGAGTAGACATGATGAAAATAAATACCGCAACCACGCTGTCGAAGCAAACAACATCTAAACCGGCCATGATCACAGGAGCTACGAGCAGCACAACTACAAACGGTACTACAACAACCCACACGAGCGAAGATCTGACCATCACCACCAACAAGATCCCGCTCCCCCTTCTCGCCTATGTCATTCTCGGCGTCGCTTACGAACCCACGCCGGATTCCATGTTCATTTTCTGTTGCTGTTTCCTACCTACCTGCGCCTGTCCGATAATCCGCGCACTACAATTCGGTGGGGACTACGCCTTCGGCGGGGATAGTTTGTCCAACACCATGTACGTTTTGCGCCTGCTCTGGTTTCAGATGGCCATGGTGATGGTCTTCTTCTTTGCCTCCTTCCCCTACCTCGACGCGTACAAGCGGTGGCTACTCTCTCAGGTCCTCCTCGTCCTCTTCCTCGACGACCCCGAGGCACGCAACTACTTACGGACGCGGAACCCGAAAATCGCGGAGAGAATCTCCCTGTTGAACCCGAACGGCACGGACTTACTCGCGGGCAACGTGAACAATTTGCAAGCCGTGTGGGTTCTGTGCAAAACCGCTTCCCCGACACTGTTGCGGAACATGATGTGCCAGTACAATTGCGGGTACAGCTTGGCGTCGTTGGTGTACGTGTCTTTGTGCACGGCGTTGCTGGTTTTCATGCTGACGGACGACGAGACCCACGTGTACTGGCCGTTTGTCGTCGAACAAGCGTGCATTTTCCTCGGCTTGGGCGGTATCATCGTCTACACGGTTTTCTACGGCGTGTGGTGCAACCAAAGTCTGTATCGTAAGGAAAAATCCCCCCTCCCCATATCAAATGGGAAATCTGTGATGCAGGATATGCGTACACAAATGCGCGCTGTCTTGTAATACGGCATCGCAGCCAGATCCGCAGCCTAGGGAGGGACATTTGGGTCTAGGTGCTTAGCATTACAAACGGCTGTCCTCTAGGCCCAACAGCATGCCAAATCGCTTCCATATTGGCGCGGAAGCCTCTGCATTTGTCTTCTTGCAAGACAAATGCGATTTGTGACCTCAAAGCAGCAACGGGTTGTGACCTCATGAGGCTGTGCCCGGGCTCAGCAAGGGTTTTTCCCCTGTCTGTGCTCCCTCGTGTTCACGCTCCTGTGCTGCTTGACTGGTAGTCATTTTGGCTTTTGTTTTTCCTCCGTCGCTGTCGTTTGGTCCCCAGGGCTGCTGCGGACAGGGCCCCCTGGGTTACCTCGGTCGAGTGGTCGTGCGGTTCGGTTCTCCTATGCCCATACCTACCGTGTACTTGCCGCTGGGTACTGGTAGTGCGTCTCTTTCGTCAGACTGTTTCGCTTCGGCGAAACGACATGACGATTGTTTGGGGAGGTTCCTAACGGTCCCCTCAGGGCATTGCCTCGTCGCTGACCTGTGGATGCGGACGGTTCAGGTCAGCTTCGGGATGGGTATCCGGAGTTGAGTTAGCTTCGGCTTTCTCTTGTGTATTCGAGGGCAGTGGTTGGCGGAGGTTGTTGGGATGTTCCTAAACAGTCATCCCAGAACATTTGTGTTCCTTTCTGACTTCCTCATTTCCTGTGCAGTATTTTACTGCATATACAGGCGCCACCCTCGTTTATCACCTCCAGGGCTACGTGCGACCCCTCCGACGCTGCGTGTGGAAGGAGGAAGTTCGGCGTGTTGGGGGTGAGGGACCCCCAACGAGGCCTACGGATATCAGCTGGAATAAAGGCTCAAAGCAGCAACGCAAATTTTCGGAAACATACCTTTTCGATATGGGGAGGGGGGATTTTTCCCCTCAATAGTCTGCAAAAACTCGAGCACATCTTCCTTCGCGGCAACATCCGGTCCGCGCATCGCGTGTCAGCTAGTAGTAGTTCTTGTGGTTCGTCGAGTACGAAAGGGAGTAGAATAAACAGTGGTATGATGAATCGAGAACATCTTCACACTGGCCCGCCGCTTTCAGAAAAAGAGCAAAGGAAAGCGGATCAGGAGGCTGAGCAGCAACAGCTGCTGCTAGCAAAACATGAATTTTTCCAGACGACGGCGGCGGATTTCGCAACAGAACTTCGGCTTCACTTCAACTGCCACAGCATGCAGTTTCTCTACCGGCCGGCAACGAGCGAACTGGTCAACTTCGTCTACGCCTATGTCAGCTTTTTGGTCTCGGCAATCCTGTCTGCGTTCGTGGCCGGCGGGCATTTCTCGCTGACGCCGAATTCTGGATGATCGAGATGCTTCGACGTTCCGTTCCAAATATTCAGAGCTTCTGTTTCAATGTCGAACATTGGATGCGCACGCTTGTCGCTATCAGCAAAAGCTGCAGCTTGTACAATTGATTTTGCATTCATTGATTTAGTTTCGAAGCCTATGATAAAGCTAGGGAATGCAATTCAAACGAGGACGTCGGGTGGCGCTGAGTGTTGATTAGTGTGTTCCCGCAGTACCTGCTCTAAGTACCGTTCATGTAGGTATGTCTATCTAGCCAGCCTGCCCCTTTCAGCATCCTGAAGGGAAGCAGATATCATATGCCACTGTTCGCACAACGACGATCTCGATGAAGTTTGCGTCGGTCGAATGTCGGTACTGCCTGGTCGTGACAGCCTCAGGGCTTAGCCGAGTCTACCACTAGTTTCTCTGTGAGTGACAAGGAAGGAGTGCCATCTGATTTTCGGTTATTAAAGTGCAATCCGATCCTGTAGGTTGATCGTGACCGTTTTTACTTCTCCTGATCATCGTGATGAAATCAATACCACAACAGGACGCGAAAAAGTGAATCCCAAATTCACTCTCACACCTGAAAGCCTCTTTCACCAAACCTCCTTCCCAAAAGCCCCTACTTAAAACACCGTAGAGGAGTACCTCTTCTTATCCTCGTCGTATACAGAATCAGAAGCTAAAGAGGATACAAAACCCTTTTACAACTTGAACTTCCTTATCGAGGTTTTCTTCGTAAAAACTCTACCCGTCTCTCTTCTACTTTCCGAAAACTTTTCTACCAAAAGACACAAAAACCGAAGCTTCAAAACCTACGACTTCTTGAACAACCAAAATGGGTGGTGGTTCGTCCAAGCAGGGGGGCGCGGGCGGTTGCTGCGCCACCGGCGGCAATGCCAATGCGCGTCAGCCCATGGCGGAGGGTGAGGCGATGAACGCGCCGCACGCGATCACGCCGGGTATGATCGCGCAGGGCATGCCCGCGGCCATGAAGAAGTGTCCGTTCCTGGCGATGCAGGCGGAAGTGACCTATGCATTGCAAAAGTATCGTAGTCGTACTAGTATAAATTGCATGACAAATTTTGGCAAGAAGAGAAGTCGAATTTGTAATGCTGTTTTACCTTAGCAGGATGATTTGTCATGCGTATTTGCAATTAGTACGAGTGCGATACTTTTGCACAGGATATGACCAACAAGCCGACCAAGCTGAACTTGAAGATCCTGAATCCGCCGAAGTACTATTTGGATGAGACGGATTATCGCAAGAAAAAAGTGTTACAGTTACACGTTGTGTTGCAGGAGCCGCAAGACAGACAACCTTTGTCATGCAGGAAATGCTTGCAAGCCTTGATGCTTCCTACGTATTTTCCCTTATCCTTATGATCTTTGCATTACAAGTTTTGTCTGCCACACAGAGAAAATTTGTGATGCAGAGACCCCAACACCAACAAATGTGTAACTGTAACACTTTTTTCTCGTGATACGGATTACAAGCAGGCGTTCAACAGCTTGAACTACGAGGACGTGAAGACCGACATCAAGAAGATGCTGAAGGACTCCAAGGAGTGGTGGCCCGCGGACTACGGGCACTACGGGCCCTTCATGGTGCGCATGGCCTGGCACGCGGCGGGCACCTACCGCACCTCGGACGGTCGCGGCGGCGGCAACACCGCGCAGCAGCGGTTCAACCCGCTGGACTCCTGGCCGGACAACGGGAACCTGGACAAGGCCCGCCGCCTGATGTGGCCCATCAAGCAGAAGTACGGCAAGCAGCTGTCCTGGGGGGACTTGATGATCCTGACCGGCAACGTCGCGATGGAGGACATGGGGCACAAGACCTTCGGTTTCGGCGGCGGCCGCCTGGACTCCTGGGCCATGGAGGAGGACGTCTACTGGGGCGAGCCGGAGAGCTTCCACAAGGACCTGGAGAAGCAGCCGAACGAGCTGGAGAACCCGCTGGGCGCGATCGTGATGGGCCTGATCTACGTGAATCCGGAAGGGCCCGGCGCCTGCGGCGACCCGCTCCTCGCGGCCGGCCACATCCGCACCACCTTCGGGCGCATGGCCATGAACGACGAGGAGACCGTCGCGCTGATCGCCGGCGGCCACACCTTCGGCAAGTGCCACGGCGCCGCGCCCGGCGGCACCTACCAGGGCCCCAAGCCGTCCGACGCCGCGGTGGAGGAGCAGGGATTCGGGTGGACCAGCAGCTACGGCACCGGAAAGGGCAAGGACACCATCACGTCGGGGCTGGAAGGCGCCTGGACCGCGAAGCCCGCGCAGTGGGACCACGGCTACTTCACGAATCTGTTCAAGTACGAGTGGGAGATGCACAAGGGCCCCGGCGGCGCCAAGCAGTGGCGGCCGAAGAACGGGGAGGGAAAGGACTTGATCCCCGACGCCCACGACCCGTCGGTCAAGCACGCGCCCATGATGCTGACCACGGACTTGTCGCTCATCAAGGATCCGAGCTACCGCGAGATCAGCAAGAAGTTCCTGGACGACCCCGCGTACTTTGAGGAGCAATTCGCGAAGGCGTGGTTCAAGCTGTGCCACCGCGACATGGGTCCGCGCGGCCGGCTGCTCGGCCCCGAGGTGCCCCCGGAGCAGATCTGGCAGGACCCGGTGCCCACGCCGGCGGCCGACACGGTGATCAGCGACGAGGGCATGATTGCCGGCTTGAAGGAGCAGTTTCTCGGGTGCGGCCTGTCCGTGTCCGAGATGGTGCGCACCGCCTGGGCGTCCGCCTGCACCTTCCGCCACACCGACTTCCGCGGCGGCGCCAACGGTGCGCGCATCCGGCTCGCGCCGCAGAAGGACTGGGCGGTGAACGACCCGGAGGACTTGGGGCGTGCGCTCAGCAAGTACGAGGCGATTATCGCGGACTTCAACGCGAAGAACGCGCCCTTCCAGCTTTCCATGGCGGATGCCATCGTGCTGGCCGCGGCCGCCGCGATCGAGAAGGCGATCGCCGACGCGGGGATGAGCGTGAAGGTGCCCTTCCGCCCCGGCCGCGGGGACGCCTCCGCGGACCAAACCGACGTCAACTCCTTCGGCCACTTGGAGCCCAAGTCGGATGCCTTCCGCAACTACAAGGCGAACGCGTACCAGATGGTGGACCGCGCGCATTTGCTGAAGATGACCGCGCCGGAAATGACCGCCATCCTCGGCGGGATGCGCGCGCTGGGCTGCAACGCGAAGTCCGCGGGCAAGATGGGCGTTTTGACCTCCCGCCCGGGCTGCCTGACCAACGACTTCTTCGTGAACCTGCTGGACATGGGCGTCGTGTGGAAGAAGACCGCGGACGGCACCACGTTTGAGGGCAAGGACCGCAACACCGGGGCGGTCAAGTGGACGGCGAGCGAGGTGGATCTGGTGTTCGGGTCGAACCCGGAACTGCGCGCGCTGGCCGAGTACTACGCCTGCACGGACAGCAACGAGAAATTTGTGCAGGACTTCGTCAAGGCCTGGGTCAAGGTGATGAACAACGACCGGTTCTAAACGGGACAGGATCGTCGTCGTCAAAGGTGGTTACTGGAAGAAGCGACGGAGTGTCTGCTTCCGAATCCGGGCACGACCACGAGGAACGAATATGACTTGTTGTTTTTCGCACCTTGCAAAGCAGAACCACTACTGTAACTTGATCCTGCAACTAAGCATAAAACCAGATCCAGAATTACATGAAGAAATGACGAAACGAACGTCGAAGTACTCGCAAGTGAGTCGTCGAAACAGGCATTGCCAGTAAGAATTCAAAAAGGAAACAATACAAAAAATTATAATAGCTGCATTTGGACGAACGCCGAATAACAATAAGAGCTGGGAAGACCTACTAGCACGACAGTGATCGATGTCTTGTGCAGAGACACTTTCAGGTTACCAACCATGGCTGAAGAGATTGACAGTTTTTTGGTAAGCAGTACACTTCTTACAGTACGTTATTCAAATCAAAAAGGAATTCTAAGTACATTTTTTTTCGTTTACCTCTCTCTCTTTTGTTGTCACCTACCCATCAAAATACCATGAGTTACTAAATCTAAAATATTGAATATTCAACAACCTTGTGGACATTTTCGAAGGCAGTCAGACGGCACATAATTTCAAACTCAGAAATTGAGAAAACCAGCAGTCTTGTTGGCGCTGGGTTTCTTCGTGTATAAAAATGTTTCACCATGCAAAAGTATCTCTGAAAGTCCAAATATTTTTTAAGAAGCACTTAGCAAGTAGGCTTTTTGCTTCCCAGCACGTCGAGATTTCATCTATACGTGACATCACAAAAACAATAGAATTTTCTGCCAAAATTACCTCTTTCAGCATTGTCGAAGCTCTACACAGACCATAACCATTTGTAAGCATGCATTTTTGTCAAGACCGTGTTGCAGTTTGCCACGACATGCATACACAATCGTAACCGTCGAGCAACAAGGAAAGGTCGCACAGAATCCATTCGTATGAAGCCAGAATTGAACCATTGGAACCTTCCTTGACGACACTCGAGACGGACACCTAAATTTATTTGCAATCGATTGTTAAACGAAAAATACAAAGAAATAGGCGTGAATCCAAGAACCTCGCGCGTCGAGCTCTTTGAGGAGCTAACAGAGGATTAGTCAAAATCATGTTCAAGTACTGAATCCGTAACCTTAGAAATCGTCCTCGTTGTCGTGTGTCGTGTACGTCGTCGAGAAAAAAAGCGAGAGTCGTGAGTGCGCAAATCGCCCAGAGGAGGAACATGATCCCGAGCTTCGATGAATCGGATGTAACAAACAACAGACCCATTTCTACATCCACCCAAAAATAGCTCTTGTACTTGATTTGGTCTTGTTGTACAAAATTTTCAGTCAAGATGCCCACAACCCCGGCACCCGCGAAAGGTATTCAGTACGCCGACGACCAAGGATGTGCTGCGGTTGGGAGAAAGGACACAACTTGTCGCGAGGAGCAAAAGTCTGCTACTCCTGCCGCCGACGACGCCACTCAATTGCAGCCCTTGACAATTGTTGCTGGGCTGAGTGGGATAGAGAAGACCTTCACGGTCGACCCCGATGTCGTCTGCACTGTCGGTGACTTAACGCCGTTTCTGCAGAGCGCACCTGACCTGGCTACGCTTTTCCACCCCGACAAAAACAGCCCCCTGCCGATCAGGATCCGGGCCTCCAGATTCGCCTGGCTGCGAAAACCTGCGCCGCAAGCGAAATGCAGCACCGCGAATCATGCAATCGCGTCTCCTCCGTCTGCTTGTTTATCTGGAAAGGAGCCTGCTGACGTGACAAAGCAGCATAAAAAGGACGTGACCGCGTCAGCTGTGGTGGGTACTTCTCCGCTAGTGACTTGTTCCCCCTCTCGGAATAAACATTTGCTGGGCGAAAGTGAGGACGACTCTTGTCGAGACGCTGCCGGCGGACGCGAAGCTGCGTCGGAGAACGAGGCGGACAGCGTCGTGCACGAATCTGATGACGACGACGACGTTTTGGAGGAGATTGCGGAGGATCCGAAAGAGGAACTGCGGTTTGATGGAACCAAGTACCGGTACGTCATTCGGACTGCGGAGAAAGTGATCCCGACCGATGCCCAGGGTTTTCCGACTTCCAGCGGCGATGTCGCGGACTGGATTTTCGACCAGGAGTACAAAAAGTTGGACTGGTCGTCAGAGGACCTGGTCGGGGCATTCCGCTCTAAAAAAGCCGAAAGCGATGTGCGAACCGTGTTCCCGCTGCACCGCCACACGCTCGAAGATATGCAAGACACTGAGTGTTTGTTTCAGCAGTATCGGGTGGTTGCCGAGGTTCTGCGCATGACCGACGAGGAATGGAGCCGCCACGGCTGGCGAGACCAAACCGCTGCTGAATTCAAGAGCATCATCGCGGAGTTGCGCGCAAAGTTGTCTCCAGCGGAACGGCATGATCAAAAAACGAACACAAAGCTCCACAAAATGGGGATCGTTCACCGCCAGTACTTCAAATTACGGCCGTCGCAATACAAGAGTTTTCGTCAGGAGTATGCAGAGCGGATTCTGACGCGCTTTCTGACGTACAACTTCAACGAACGTCCTTTACGTGCGTACGGCGTCGGTTTACAGCATGCAGATACAGAAGTAGAAAAGCGTTTCGTTCAGATGATCGTGAAACCGGCGTTGCGACATATCACTCGCTGGTCGCAGGCGGACCTTCCCGGCTTGCTGTGGTATTTGCGATTTCCTGAAGAACTATTGGACGAAGAGTCCCCCGTCGTCCAGTTTGTTGATCTAACTGACCCGCTCCAGATTGCGCCGCTCACGGAACTGTTCCGGAAGATCGGCACGAGGCGTGGCGCATGGAGAGCCATCCGAGATACGCTGAAGGAGGAGCTGCTGGACTTTTTCCGCCGTTGTGAGGACGACGATTTTTTTTCTTTTCCCGAAATTCGAATCGCAATCGGAAGCGTATTTTAACCTCTTCTACGCGCAGACACATATGATATTTATTATATTCGATTCGTATTTATTTTTATCCGAATTTATTGCGTGATTTGCAGTGAGTACATTTGTGTTGGGAGGTAAAAGAGAAAAACAACAAGATGTTGCACTTGCTTTTTATCAATGCTATGAATTTTTTTTTTATTTATTCAGGAGGTGGACACAGTAGCATCAAATTGAAATCCAAATGCAGATTGACGAAGAGAGCCGCCATCAGTTTTTGGCCTCCGCGGATCACATGACCGAGGTCTGCATGCCGATCACACGCGTGTTCACGGACGCCATGACAACAGTGGGCTTCGGAGCGTACGCGGAGGACGTCTTGCGTGTGCTGAGAAACCCGAAAAAACGTGCGCAGCAGCTTGTGCAGCGTGCAGAGCAACTCGCCAAGGAGTTCGAACACATGTTTGCCCCCCCACAAGAGCCGCAGCCCGACGACGGCGACGAAAGCCAGGATGACGAGGATCATGATGATAATGGTGGAAGCGAGAACTATGAGCAGTCGGACCAGTGGACCGTCTGCTCGTCATCGTCTTCACCGTCGAGCCATCGATCGAACGAAGTTGCGGATCCACCAATCGGGGAGCTCGAGGTGATCGAGCTATCGGACTGAGATGAATCAGGACGAGATTCCAAGAAAAATGCAACACCCTGGAGTTTTGAACTAAGAAGCAAATTAATGTAACCAACGACGAGGACGATTTTTATTTGTTGCTGCTCTCTGGTTTATTTGAATTTTTTCTCACGTACTAAAAACACAGCACCAGTGACTTCTAATTTAAAATTTACTATTACTAATTTTGTACATTACAATAGTGTAGTACTAGCCATAACAGTTTCTGTCCCGTTGCTCCTTCGTAAGCAGCCGCAGCTGAAAGAATACAATGAATATACTTACAATATAATCAAAAGCTTTAATAGCGACGTTCAAGAGCCGCATCGTTGCGTCTTTGTTTATGGCTTCACCAGCAACAGCGACCGGCCGTAATCTGGTAACCAAAGTGTGCGCAAGCGCTCGCAGGTGAGACCTGCCGTCCCATAGCGTGCGCAAGTGCCCGGCCGTAATCTGGTAACCCCGCGCCGGGTGCTTGGCCGCCTCCTGTTCCAAAGAAGTATGTCAGTAGATAGTCAATAGCTCGGCTACCCTCGGATCCGCGAATCTGTTGCCGCCTTCGTCCTCCACCTCGCCAACTTCAGTGTCGTTTTATTTTTACTCATTTCTTTGTTTCATGAACGGAGAAATAAGATGAGAAAAACGGCGCCTCCACATCTCCCGGTCCAACACGTAGCTGCAAAGTCTGTCTGGTCCAAGCAACTCCCGATCTGCCGGTCCGGCTTGCAGCGGCAGAGTCCGCTTGTTCCAAGCGGAGGCGCCCGGCCCTGGCGCCTCCACATCTGCGGGTTCGATCTGCAGCTGCAGAGCCCGGCTGGTCCGAGCGAAGACGCCGGGGCCCGGCGCCTCGCTCGACATCTGCATCTGCTGTTTCGATGGACTTGCAGCTGCAAAGCCCGGTTGGTCCGAGCGAAGGCGCCGGGCCCCGGCGCCTCCCCATCTCCCGGTCCGGCTGGTAGCTGCAAAGCTTGGCTGGTCCAAACGGAGGCGCCGGGCCCCGGCGCCTCCCCACCTTCCGGTCCGACTTCCAGGCAGCTGCAAAGCCCGCTTGGTCCGAGCGGAGGCGCCGGGCCCCGGCGCCTCCCCATCTCCCGGTCCGGCTTGTAGTTGCAAAACTTGGCTGGTCCAGGCGGAG